CAGGTGTCCAGGGGAAAAATAGTATGTGATCATGTAATTAGGGGGCTGCACAACAAGGCAGGCACAGCTAGGAACTAAACCCAGGCAGTCTATTTTCTTTCTTTTTTAAAAAAAAAATAATGTTCAGACTCCCAGCAATCTGGCATTTTCTAATCTTCAAGTCCTTGACTATAAAACCTAATTAATGCTCTTTTAATACAAGGTTTTTGCATTTCATCTCCCAGGGCTTATTTTTTTATTGTTATGTGCAAGTGCAGCTTTTTTTTTCCTCTACTGCCAGAGTTGGGGCTCGGCATATCCATTACCGCAGCCACCAGCCCTGCCTTCCCCAGTTGAAAGCAGAAGGATGCTCCAGTGGGTCCCATGGGATGGTGGGTGGCAGGTTGGCCCTTTCAGTCCCCCCCTGGGTACCCTGTGCCCCTGGGAGGGCCGGGGCAGCCGTATCCCTTCCCTGCCTGGCTCGGGGGGGACAGGGGCAGCTGCTGTGCCCCAAAAAAACCCCACACAATACAGATGGTATTTCATACAGATTTGGTTCAGTGTCATCTGCTGCAAACATAAGCACCAGCTCGGTGTCTTTGCTGTTGTCAATGATAAGCTGAAACCTCTTTGGTTGTTTTTCAGTCAAATGCCAGTAACAAAGTGAAAAATCACCATTAACCCCCTCCTTTATTTGCATAGTTTTGATGCCGTCAAAAAAAGACAACACTCATGTAGCATAAGGAGAATTTTTAAATAGAAGCGTTACATTTTAAAACCCTAATAAAGATAAAAGCAAAATAAACGCTGAAATTTGAATTTAGAGAATGAGGCAAGAAAGATTAGTCTGTGTTGGTGAAGTAATGAAGGTAGTGGCTGGTAACAATTTTTAATAGCACATTAATGCTGAATTACTTTGGAATTTCTGCAGGAGTCGAGATGACATCCACATAAACACCAAATGAATTCCAAATGATTGGTATTATCAAAAAGAGCACCAAATGAATTAATAATGATGGAACACTTAAACTAAAATGTTAGCTTCTCTAATCTGATGTCTCTTTTACGCATAGCACAATTCATTTTTAGCCAACTATGACCCTTTTTCTTTCCTTTGTCTTTTAATTTAAAAAAATATATATTTATTTTTGCTCCTGTACCGCATGAAGCTGGACTTGTACTATTCTGTCTTCGTAACAGTTTAGCATTGGCATTGCAAAATTTAAGAGATAGATGGGAAGACATCTGGACGTATTGCTGGGAAAATGACTATGACTAATAAGAACCATAATAATAACGATTCCGCCTTGATGGTCCCACATGTGCAGAGACCTCGGGGCACCCTTAACAGCGTTTAATAAACTAAATGGCTCACTTTACAGCAACGCAATATGTCTCCCCCTCCCATGGAGAAGCCCAACAGGAGAAGGAGCCTGAACTTGCGGTCTGTGTAACTCGGCTCAAAAAGAGCAGGTTCTAAGAGGCTGGGGCAGCGATGCCCTGTGGATGCCAGGGGGGAACTGAGCCCCAGCACTGCAGTGACACGTGTGGGGGGCTCATACCCCTGCCAAATGTGGGTTTCTTGGGGTGGCAGGTAGGCACAGCCTGGGAAGGGGGACACCACTGGCAGCAGCATCGCCTTCCCCCCGGTCACTCCAGGTCCCTTCCCGGGGCTGGTCTGGGCGCTCGCTGACATATTAGCAGTCAAATGACATTTAGGGAGCACAAGTCTCAATCCCTCCTGCAGGCCAAGTAAATATCATTAGTAATGATATTAAATCTCAAATTGTGCTCCTGCACTATGGCAACCACTCAGCAAGCATTTGCTATTGCTGCTTGTTTCTAACAATTACCTTCATGGACTTTATTTCTTAGAAAACTATTACTGACCATACTCCTCTACATGGCAGGCCATGGAAATAAAAAATAATCCAAAAAGGAACGTCAGCCCAGCTTTCAGAGTGAGGTTGTGGAGCTGCCGGGAAGTGGGCATGGCAGGTTTTATTGTGTTAGGAGAGGTGCAGTGCTGGGTGCTGCACCGAGGAGCCAGGCAGGGCAGAGCTTTTCTGGCCAGTGAGCCTGGATGGCTTTAAAGCAGTGAATGCTCCGAGGCCATCAGCCTGCTCTTCTGTGCAGTATCTGTCACATACACCCATACATATATATATATATATATTACATTTTTATATGTGTGCGTATATCTTATATGTAGGGGTGTGTATATATATGTGTGTATATATTACATATGGGTGTACATATGTACATATAAGTGTGTGTGTGTGTGTGTATACACATATAGGTGTGTGTATGTATATGTATACTCAGCTGTTGGCTTTTCTGTGCCGCAGAAGTGTTTGCTGGGCTGTTGCAGGCTGGTGGCAGTGGCAGGCCGCTGGCCCGTCACACGTGCTGCGCTTCTGTGACAGAAGCAACATATAATTATATTACAAATTAACTTGCAAATGCTGGTAGAGATGTACTCCACAGGAAAGGGAAAAAAAAAAATAAATAAATCGGTTTCATCTTCTCTTGTGCCTTGTAGCTGGTCTCTCCAGCACAGCCTGCATCTGTCAGGATCCGTGCCCTGGGAGCACTAATCATTTTTATTAACCATTAAACAAGAAGATCCTTTTTATTTGAAAATGTAAAACATGCAGGAAGCGCTATCTATAGCCGCTAATTCAGGTCACATTTAACGGCTCTTCCTCACCTCTTGGCTCGTCCCCGTTCTGCTGAAAGCTCCGCGCCGTAAAACCTGCCGCTGCCCCTCTTCCCCGTCAGGGGCGATGGGCTGGTGTGCTCATTTGCATTTAGAAGCCGGATTTTATCCTGAATAATTACACTTCATTTCTGAGTGACCCGTTGTAAAGCAAGCCCGGTTTAAAGCATCTCTCATGGCAATTTTATGAGCTGTTACTACATTTTCTTAACATCTTTCACCTTCCAATCGTTTGTATTTCGTGTCGGGGTGGTGATGGGTGAAGGTGCTGCCACCCCAGAAAAGTGAGCTGGAGGACGGGGGTGGCCGGGGTCACGTCTGTGTCTGTGGGGTTTGGTCACTGGTGGGTTGAAGCCCCCTCCTGCCCCTCCTCTCCCCCACGAGGAACAGCCACGTGGGGCTAATGGCTCCCACGGCCCAGGGAAACTTGGCCGGGCGAGAGACCTGGTGTCAAGACTCCTACCTGGGGGCTCTGCTCCTCCTAAACTGAGCAAAAAACGGGCCTCACGTTTTATTTACAGAGCTGTGGCTGATGCCACCTAGTTAGCATTATAGAGCAGATTCCTCCCATCCTTTTTTATTATGCAGCTTGGCGGCTGCTGTGTGAGACTGCGGAATATTTTACTGCTTTGTGGCTTGCATTCAATAGGGGAAAAAAAAAAAAAAAGAAAAAGGAAAAGTTGACAAAAATCCCCCTTTTTTTTTTTTTTAAATACAACTTTGTTTTCAACAGCCCTCCTGCTGTGACAAAGCTGTTAATTAAACTGAAACTAAAATAAATTAAGCCCACCTGATATGAGAAGCATCTGAAGGCAAAGCATCAGCCTAAAAGCTGGGTGGGGTAGGAGCCACCTGTGCCTGTGCCTGCCCAGGGAGGGATCCTGGGGCAAAAAATGAGACTTTTGGCTCCCGTGTCAAACAGACCACAATGTGACACGCTCAGTCAGCCAGGCTGTGGCCCTATACTATAGATAAAATGTCTTTATTATTAAGAAAGTGGCCCTAAAGATCTAATTGTAATAGCCAGTGTATATCTCCATCTGCCTTTAAGTCCAGCTGAGGTTACTGACTATTCTGGAGGGAAAACCACCCACCAGCACCACCAGTGTGGGCATTCCCGCCCCCAGCTTGCCTTACTGGACCTCTGGGGGCTGACGTCTGTAGATACCTTGCAACCATGCCCCCAGGTCCCCCCCTGGAAGGTCACATACCTATAAATAAAAGAAAGGGCAGGCCTGGCCGAGGCACGGCACCTACTTTGATGTGTGGTAATGAACTTTGCTTTTAATTGGGGGTTGTAGCTTTCCCATCCCGACGCAGAACCGGGAGCTGCGGAGAAGCTGCATGCATAATAAGGGGTGAAAGCAAGGATGCGGCGCGAGATGTGTCTGATGTTGGATGAGAGGGAAGATAGCCTTTAATCATTTTGTTTTCAAAGAAGCTTTAGAGAGCTCTTTGAAGATGAGGCTTTTTGAGAGCTGCTGCTGGAAAATGGGAGGCAGCGGAACGCGGCGCCCACCTTCTGCCCACAGCCACCCGCCCCCTTGGTTAACCTGTGCGTGGGACACACTCAGACCCACGCCGCTGTCCCTGCCTCCTCCAAGGCTGGCACCTGGCAAACTGCTGCAAAGCTGAGCTGGTCTCCAGCTGCCCGGAGAGGTGAGATCCCCATGGCTACAGCAGGAAGGGAAACTGCCCGGTGCCTTGTCACTGAGGGCATCGCGGAGCCTCAGCGTAGAGAGGCAGGCAAGTGAAGCCACCGGTGGCTAGAATAGGATGTCTGTCTTTCCTTTAATAATAGTAGTATTTTTGTAATGATAATGTTCTGTAAATCATGTCTTACTATCATTGGATGAAAGGGAATGATAATGAACAGCTGAGCAGACTTTAAGGAAAAGCATCATGATCCCTGCACGTGGTGGGGCTGTTGGAACTAGATGCTCTTTAAAGTCCCTTCCAACCCAAACCATTCTAGGAGTCTGTGATGGAAAGGAGTGGAAACTGTGCCTGTCTTCCAGTGTGGCATTTGGGATGGGAGAAGGCGAGAGTGGTGTGTCACACACCCAGTGCAGTGAGGCTGTGTGGTACCTACACAGGCAGCTTCTTTATGGAGTGGGACGCGGCACAGTGGCTTCTTGGCCTGCATCGGAGAGGCATGGAGGGACTGAACATCATCTGAACATCCCAGGCTGGGGAGGGCAGGCGAGTTCTGCCCCGGCTTTGTTTTGAGGACTGAGGTCAGGGTTTTGTTGTATTAAGTGCATCACACACAAAATAACCACGTGGCTTCTTGCTCCAAAAGTGTTACAGGCTGAGAGGAAACACCTTGGGGACAGTGTGCCAGCAGCCCTGTTTTTACCAAGTGTGTGGCATCAGTACAACAGCCAGGCCAGCAGGTGAGTGCAGTGCGGGCTGTTGGGATGTTGGTGGCATGCATTGTCCCTAAGTTATCCTGCTGAGTGGGTTTACTGGTCTTGGCAGTGGTTTTGTACATCTATGTCTTCTCTCATGTGGTTTGTAAAGTAAGTGTGTCCTGGTATTTAAAGTTATTTACATATGCTCCAGCACCGTGACCAAAAAAGCCTATGAAACACCCCAAAAGAATGAATTATTGCCCCTCTGGATAAGAAACGAGCCGACACCATTGGCATTGCAAGGGGCTGCCTTCTGCCTGGTGTAAGAGGGTGCTGAGAAGCAGAGAAACAGCAGCAGACCAGCATCCCTTCACACAGCTGTGGGTGGAGGAGCTGGGCTCTGCCCCTGTGCGTGGCACTGTCCCCACACCCCTCTTCACCCAGCCAGGTCCTTGTATGCCCAACCCGCCTCCTTTTATGAAGTGAAATGCACAAAGGTTTTTTCCTCATCTCGAGCTCTGGCCGCCATATAGCTCTAACAAATGCGATTTCCAGTCCCTTCAGAAAAGAAAAAAGGCAACCCAAAGGCCACATGGCCAGATTTGCTGCTGTGTTTGGTACAGGTTCTGCAAATGCTTTCTGTGGAATTCTCCATTCCTGTATGCACAGCCCCGAGACACTGTCTCAGGCTCTGTGCCCATACCTGCAAGTTGAAGGTTAAGTTTGAAGGGCCCCCAAAGAGCTCTGCTGTTCACTGGGACCTGTCCTCTGTGCATTAAAACCAAAATAATTTTCCCCTTTTCTGCCCTCTGGTCTGCAGCAAGTACTTAAAAACTGGCCTTGCTCTCAGAGGTGGGAAGGCTTTGTGACAGGCACTGCAGCTGGGGATGCAGTGAATAACACCTTGCAAACGCGGGCTGCTTAGGGATTAAATGTGGCATTGCAAGGCAAATAACTTTGGGAAGTGTAGAGATAATGTGTCGGACTCCTATTTTCACTTCTAAGTGATGCTGTGCTATTTTAGACCAGGCCAAGACTTGCCGTCTTTTTTTTTTTAATGGGGTTTATTGCTACAGCTACACGGCTGTGTGTATGTGTTAACATTTGGGTTTTTTTTTGTATTGAATGTTAAGTGACTGAAATAAACAATCCAGATCTGATAGTCCCAGTGGGGGGACTGACATTTGGATTCGGCTCAAAATCTGTGCTTTGGATGCTTGTTAGACTCCGACACCTCGCTCAGAGAGCACAAAGCGTGGGGCAGGGGAGGGATGGCAGGGTAGAGCTACGTTTGCCACCTCCAACCTAATCCTCACCCTCACGCCAAAGTGCTCCTCGGAGGTGCTCGCTGCCATCGGTGCATCGGGTTTAGTTGATGGAGGGGTGTTATAATGTCACTTCAATATCAGTTTAATTAGCAGAGCTTGCAAAGTCTCCCTATAAAGGATATTGTGCTACCAAGCCTGTATAGCCCCGCGCTGCTGTGCCTGGGTTCCCCTCGTGTCACACCACCCCTGCTGAGCCTGTGCGTGGGAGACAAAACCAGCAAGGACTGGGACAAAGAGGAGTATTTTACAGTGGGTTTTGCCTGGAATGTCCCGCTTCCCATCCTGGTCCAGCATCCCAGCGCCGGGGAGCTGCCACGCGCTGGCCTCGGCCCCGCTGCCTGCGGAAGCACCGCGCTCCCACTCCCATCAATCATCAGCACAGACCAGGTGCCTGGAAGCATCTCTTGCCAATCGCCTTTTATTACCTTTAAAAAGCCAAGAAACCCAGAACAAGACAAAAAACTGAGACGGTGTGAACATCATGCAATGGATTCACTTTTAAAGCAGGCTGGAGGGGGACAACCAAAAGCCGTGTTAAGAGAGAAGTATCGCTTCGCTCGTGTTTGGGGGGGGCCAGGTTGGGTGGACTGTCACTGGTTGGTGGTGACTGTGGTGAGCGACCAGACTAATGCTGAAGCAGGAAATGGAAACACACTCATGAGCCATCATCCCTAGTAATCCCGGACCTGATTCCCACTCAAATGCAATTTCTTACGTGGTGATGACAGTGAGAAAGACTCCTAACTCCTGTCATGGGTACTTTCTGCCTGGGCAAAGTCTCTTTGGAAAGGAGCAGTGCAATGAATACTGTTACAAGGGTTTTTTAGTTCAATTATGTTATTTAGTGTGACTAGGACTCCGGCAGTCAATTAGTGGAGGAATGAAGTTACCGCACTCTGCCCTTCAGTCTCACTCTGTCGTCTTCAAAATTCATAGCACAAACTAGAGTGATATTAGCTTCTCCAAAGAATGTGTTTTGGAGAGTTTCAGCTACCATGGAAATAACTTTGCATCTTGTCCATCATGTGGATGTGACAAAACACATGCCCTTATTTTCCTGAGGTATAGCCAACATTTGAGTTCATTACATTTAATGGAGTAGGGTCACCCATAAAGTTATTCATAAGGTATTTTCTGAGTGGTTTTCACCTTCTCTTTGAAAAAATAAATTATATCAGCATGTTCATGAGGTACAAATGGTGCTGGCATTTCAGCTGTTATTATGTTATTAACTTTTTTAACCTAATAATTTTCAATCAACAGTAGGAAGCAATTTTCACTCACTCCAGTGACCAGAGTTGGAGATTCTGCAAAGCGTTCTTGTAGGGTTCACCTTGACAGATACTTAATTCCCTCCCAAATCAAAACATTACCCCCGACACTCCCATTGCGGTTACCAAGAATTTCCATTTCCCCTTCGGTTAGGATTTAATTTAGAAGGCAAAGACTTCCTAAGCTATGGGACAGTAAAGATAGATGGTATGGGAGAAGGCGGCTGATGAAATGTAGTTGACTCCGGATCTGAAATATTTTATCCCTCCTCAATGTAGGTTAAATTATTCTTCACCTTTCCCACATCCATAATTGTCGCTGATCTTGGACCAACTCAAAACCCTACTACTGAGTTCAGTAGACTCAAAATTGCCACTAGAACTGGAAAAAGAAAAAAAAAGAGATTTGTTAGTGTCCATATACAATATCCCAAGACTATACACAGCTATGAGATACAGCAAATTTAAGAAAGGCAATTTTTTTCTCATCACTGAGTATTTATTATATATAACAAATACATGAAAAAGAAAAAACTATATTGTGTGATATAAATAGTTTATTTACATTACAGAAAAACATCAAGACAATGTATACTATTTCAAATATATCCATACATAATCAAATATAGCTGTAGTACATGTTCTCATTGGTGTAGATTACCACAAATGCAAGGCAACATGTGTAGATCTTGTCTTAAATCTTTTGTCTATAATACTGTATTTTGTAGTCCAAGCTCTCTGCAGTTAGTTTTGCCATTGTGGAAACATGCGCTCTTTAAATTAACCTTGTCGATGCTCTTGTTGTGTTGTCTGAACTGTAGTGCCCTGTGTTTTGCTTCTGTCTGTGGATTCTGTTGCTCCTGGGACATTTCCTGAAAAAGAGAGTTGTGAGAATACACGGCTCGTGACAACGCTCCAGGGGCTGCGCAAGGCTCGGCTCGAGCAGTGGGGGACGGGAGGGCGAGAGAGGGCTCCGCTGGCCCTCACCGCATCTCCTTCTCAATGGAACGAAAAGGGCTGACCTGCAGCAACTAAAATCTCCACAACAAAGCAAAAAACATACTGTAAGCAAAAATATGGCAAGAGAGATCTACTGGAGAGCAGCAGCGACCCTGCTCTGTTGCAACGGATCCTGCTGCACTGCATCTCTTGGGTGCAGTTTGGCTCATCTTTAAATAACAGACTTATTTTCAGCGAGGCACAGGTGGGAGATTGAGGACGGTGTCACGCTCACCTGCTCGGCATCCCGGGCCCGGGAGGTATTTACCAAGTGGCTGTGGGGGCTGCCTGTCAGAGGAGCCCAGTGTCTGCAGTCCCTATTAGTCTCCATGGAAATGCTCCAGGCTCAGGTCATTAGGGAGCAGCTCCTTTACTTACGGTGCCTGCGCTGCGCTACGCTCCTCACACGGCTGCGTGGCTTAGCGCGGAAAGCCATCGCACCGGAAAGACAAAATCTTATTTTCCTTTGGATGGCTGCAAAAGCAAATCTCTTCTGCCTCAGGACCTCGCAGAGCTCCTCAGCAAGGGCATGTTTCAACCCATTACCAGCAAGGCAGCAGCACTGGCTATGGGGGCTGCCACGAAGGGTTTCTCCCAAATGGAAAGATAATAGTGTGTTTCTGGTTTCCTCCCGTGGTAAGGCACCCTCTGACAGAGAGCATGGAGAAGTGTAGCCCTAGGTAGAAGCTGCAGGAAGTTCTGAGCAGCTGAAAGCCAAGAGGATTATGATAGAAATGGCCGGGCAAGTGGAACTGCAGCAAGGTGACCAACACCCTCTAAAAATGCTCGTACTACTTGCATTTGTGGTACCAGTAGGAAAACGGTGAGCTACTGAAAAGCAACCAGCATTAAAAACGGTCCTTTACCCAGGGTGACCTAGTTAACTTTTTGCACAGGAGGAGGAAGAGGCTATTCCTAACTTGGCCACCTGTTTGTCCTCTTTCTTCAGCTGAAGCTCAGCAAGAGTTTTTAGCCTGGGTGCACCTTGTTCTGCCCTCTGCGTGGGCAGCTACACAAGAAGAACTGAAACACCCACTTGGAGTGGCACGACAGAAAGCCCCACAGTGCTCCAGATCGAACTGACATGGAAAAAAAAAAAATCCCTTTATATTTGGCTGACTTGTTTTCTGTTACTGGGAGGCTTCCAGTGGCACCTTGTGAAACCTGCTGGGTGATGCACCGAGGAGAGCCCACCCCTCTTAGAGCAGCGAGAGCTCGCAGCACTTGCCTTCAGCTCCGTGTCAAACTACTAACAGAGTAGTTACAAACAGTTACAAACTAAAATAGAGTGAAATAGATTTTTACTGACTCCTTAAAATCAAAAAAGACCATTTCTCCCCACCTCCCCCAGCTTGTTGAATGGGAGTGATGCTATAGTTTAGTGATGCCAACTGAAAGGCTAAACAAGAGCATAAGGACTTGTGGAGCATTTC